AGCTGGCGACGAGGGCTCCAGGCGAGGTAACGCCGCTGGGGGCGGGTTCAGCGCAGGCCTCCCAGGCACTGCCATGAGCGTGGTATGGTTCCGCTCCCAGCGCGTCTTCCATTTGCTCTGACACGGGCCGTCTGCAGTGCAGGGGAAGGCGGGTGGGGCCTCCTGCCAGCCACGTGCTCAATTAATGGCATGGTAGGAAGCAGCCATAGAGTTATTACATACATCTTCTGGAGTAACTTTATAGCTTATTCCTCTTTTTATCACACAGTTTGATCGCACATGCGGCTGGGTGACCCCTTGAGGCATAACTAACTGTTTAATCGCACCTTAAGTGCAATGTGTGGATGGGGTCAGAGGGCGTGTGTAGACGAAACGGGGGCACTAAATTGAGGCAGTGGGTTTGAAAAAAAACACTACTTCAGTTTGGGGCTGTTTAAGCCCCCGTGTGGTGCACACACCCTGCAGACTTACCTGCCCCTCCTGCAGGGAGGGGAGGGTGAACTGCCGGCAGGCAGAGCGGTCCCTGGGTTGAGGGGGGGCTTGTGCTTCCCTCTTGTGGCAGCTGTACCATTCCCCCCTTCCCCCCCCAGCCCAGCCCCCATACAGCTAAAGCAGGTTTTCTCTGGTAGATCCTGCCTTCCCAGGCTGCTGTCAGGCTGCCTGCAGGGCTTCTTGTAGGCTGTGGAGCAGCACAGAGCTGGGTGCTTCACTCCATGGCTGTAGGGACAGCAAACTAAAACTCCTCGACGGAGTTTTAGTTTGCTGCACCCCAAGTCATTTAAGGTGCATTATGTTGCTGAATTTCCTACAGTGGCTGGAATAAATGTGCAATATGCCACCAAGACATGCAAACACCGACACCATTAAAGTGGTGCAAAAGCATTTAGCCCTCTTTACAGTGTCGTGCGCATGTGCCTCTCATTTTGTCTACACATGACCTAAGTTTCTTCCTGTGTAGATCAAAGTATTACAAAACGATATGGTGTCATTGTCAGTGCAGCCTAGCCCACAACAACTCACCCAAGCAGCCTATGTGGCCCTACCTGTCCATCCCTGGTTTAGGGTCTGATACTAAGTCAGTGGCAAAGCTACACCTGACTAAGGATTTAATTATTTTTGGGAAAATTTTCTGAAACGTCTAATGAAGTAAAAGTTGTATCTTGTGGTTTCTGAACTTTGCCACTAATAACTGGGTAAATCACCTAAGATCCAAGAGGAATTAGCTTTTAGGTACATAGCTGACGGAGTGAAATCTGAAGGCCAGAGTTGGATGCCTAAGCTCCCTCCAGAGTGTATGGAAAGACTTAACTGTTTCAGAAGAAGATCCAAAAAAAAGACATACTGAGTTAGGAGCCACCTAGAACCAGCCGACAGAAAAAATGCTGAGCGCAGAATCCTCCCCTGTGGAGCTTAGGTGCTTGACTTCCCTCTACAAAGGAGGTGCATATATTCACCTGGGATGCAGAGCTTGGGAGTCTGCTCCTGAGAGTAGGCTCCTACATAGATTAGGGGTGTGAAAGGTTAAATGATTAATCATTTAACTGTAAGTGCAGTTGTAATTGGTTATTCTTTAGTTTGGGGTGGGTGCAGTCTGGCAGGGAAGAGGGGAAGGGAAGTGCCCCAGTAGAAATCAGAAGGCAGCAGAGCAGGTGGGAGGGAAGGAGGAGCAGGGAATGGGGAGAGGGAAGAGGGGAGGGAGAGGAAAACAGGGAACAACTTAATGACTCAATTAAGTGATTAGCTGCTCATTCACAGGTGCTTCCTCCTTTTACCCTGGGTTGTGTTGTCTGGCTGGGCTTGCCTCCTCCCCACACTTAGAGGGCCCTGGGAGCACCGAGCAGCTCCCAGCTGCAGCTGTGTCCGAGCTGCTGCGTTATTGGTTAATCATTAAATTAGAGGATGCTCAGATCAGGCGTAGTCTATGCTTATCTGGCAAGGGAAACACTGTGACCATGGAGGCAGTCTTTCTAGCCGTACCAGGGAAGACAGTGCTCCTGGCATGGGAATAGTACCTGTCAAGGTAATATATAGTAAACTTCCCACTTAGCTACTGGAGTGGGAAGGTCTTGGCTTCAAGCCTACTTTATGGAAATGAGAGACTCCTCCCTGGATTGCCTCTGGGGCCTTATGGCTGAGGGCAAGAAAAACTCAGGGGCATCTGAACCCCAAGCCTCCAGGCTTGGGCCTGCAAATAGGATGCCCGCTAAAGGTTTTGGGAACATCTGAAGCCCCTGATGGGGTTGGAGAATGTTTGCTGGTAGTAGGGCCACTTATGGTTCTGGACTCTTGGATTTGGAATTAGTTTTGGCAAATTGGGCCTGGGATACATAACAGAAATTAGGGGAGGTTAAATGAATATTTTTTTCAAATGGTGTTTACATCCCTAACATAGATTTCCTTCAGAGAACCAGGCATGGATCACTTTTAAAATAGGGTTCTGGTTGTGTGATGTCCCTTTTGTATACCAGTCTAACGATTAGAGCACTTCTCCAGGAAGTGGGATACTTGGGTTTGATGCCCTCCCCAGCTTCAGGGGATTAAAACCCATCTTTCTCATGATCAGTGGCAAAGGTTTTCAAAGGTTTGATGTCTTATTGAGCAGAGGTATCAAGTAGTGTTCTGTAGGGACTTGGCCTGGATCCACTACTGTTTAAAATCTTCATTAATGACTTGGAGGATGCAGTTTAGTGTATACTTAGCAAATTTACAGATGACAGTGAGCTGACTTGGGTATCAGACACTTTGGAAGATAGGATTAGGATTCAAAAGACCTCTATAAATTGGAAAAGTGCTCTAAAATTAGTCAGATGAAATGAAATACAGAGGAGTGCAAAGGACAGAACAAGCAAGGTATACATCCAAAATTGGGGAACTATCTAGGCTGTAGTACTTCAAAAAAGACCTAGGGATTATAGTGGGCTGCAAGTTGAATATGAGTTAACAGTGTGTAATTGTTGCAAGAAGAGCCAACAGCATACTGGGATGTAATAACTGGTTGTATGCAAGTCATATTAAGCGATTTTTCTATGCAAATCATCAGCGGTGAGGCCTTGCCTAGAGCACTGTGTCCAAGTTTGATCACTTAAAGACGTGTACGAATAGCAAAAGTCCAATGGAGAGCAACAAAAATGATTAGAGGTCTAAAACCCATGACTTTTGAGAAAAGTTTGGAAGAACTGGATGTGTTTAATGTGGAGAAAGAAAGACTGAGGGGACAGTTGATGATAGTCTTTAAATACATGAAGAGCATGATGATAGGTTATTCCCTGTTGCTGCAGGGACAAGAGAAGAAGTAATGGCCTTAAATTGCGAGAAGGGAGATTTAGGTTGGTTATTGGACAGAACTTCTTAACTATGAGCATGCTTAGGCTACCTGGATAGGCTGTGGTATCTCTATTCTTGGAAGTTTTTAAGAAGATGTTAGATGAGTGGTGCCCAACGTTTTTGCCCTGTGGGCCAGATGGGCAGTGCTGGATCTTGCGAATGAGCCTCCTCCAACTTATGGGGCAGGTGCAGCAGAGTCTGAACTGGCCACACAGAGGGAGGTGGGGGGGCAATCTGATCTGTGGGGGAAATCTGTGCTGCACAGGGGGAGGAGTCTTTGCAGTGAGGGAGAAGTGACTATTAATAGCCACTGTTTCCCGCTCCCAAATTTCCCAACCTGTAGGGAGCCCCACAGGGCAGATGCCATGGCCCTAGGGGCTGATGGTTGAGCACGCTTGGGTTAGATAAACATGTAGTCAGGATAGTTTAGTCACGGATGATCTTGCCTTGAGCAGGGTGCTGGACTAGATGACCTCCTGAAGTCCTTTCCCACCTTATCTTTTTTTAATTCTCACCTCCCAGGCAAGTACCCTAATCACCAAACTCTAGTGTAGGCAGGGTGGGGATACTTTATACATCTTCTGTTGAATCTGCCACTGTAGGGCAAAGAATGTAAGATTGATGGGACTTGAAGCCAGGAGGAGTATGAGTCTGTGACTTGAATTTTTAACTCCCATTGCTCAGTTCTAATCATCATGTGCTTGCTCCCAAGATTCTCATGCATTTTATATTGAACAGCCACTGGATAAAATATAGCCCCAAGCCTGAGAACAGTGTCCAGACCCCAAGATTTCCAGGTCAAAAATAGGGGCACCTAGTGTTTTGGACATCTCCAAGATTAGGCAGTTGCTGGACAGCCATTTTTTTAGATTGCAATTTTGGATTTAGGAGCTTAATGTTCATCTACGGATTTTGCCCTCAGCATCACTATGCCTTCATTTATCCATTTGAAAAATGAAGCCGATACTGTATTAGAATTTATAGTAATCATAAACATTATTGTTTGTTCATGCTGAACATTAAAATTAGTCATGAAATGTATATGATTTTATTGCTCCGTAATTGTTTTTCATATAATCTTTTATGAGCAAGTATTTCTGCCAAAATAAGCATTGTTACTCAACAGTGAGTTGTTATATAAGTATGCAGCAATACAATTAATAAAAGAAGTTATGTGGCTACAAAGAATACTTGCGTGTTTCATGTACGTTCTTAGGCATATGGCCAAAGGCATATTAAATGTGTTTAATATATTCTTTGGACGGGTGTAAGTATTTTAAGGATAGCTAACTGGATCATAAATTCTAGTTTTGTGCTGTTATATGACATACCTTCACAATTAGAATCTTTGCCAGGTAGTGAGTTTTCTCCCGTTACGTCCATCTGGGTAATATTACACCAGCCAAAATAAAGACTGGGTTTTTCTCAGGCAGTTAAAATTCCCTTATATGTCTGTGCAAACAAATAAATAATAAAGGCCATATGCACAAATGAACAAATGCTGCTCTCAATTATATTTCTAAAACTCCAGGGTAATTGAAACCCATGTAATTATTCCAAATTTACCTAAGTGTAAATGAGATCCAAATATGACCAAGGAATCACATTTTTGGATATTCCCCACTTCCCCATTTCACCCTCCCCCATGATTGACTATAACGAACATTCACGAATGGCAGAATTTGATAGAGAATAGCTATTA